CCAATCCCTCATCTAAAAACTCGAAAGAAACACAAAATCTCATAATTCGATTTGATTCCAACAATGATTAGACGGATCAGCAGCGGCGTGTTTGAACTCCTGGCAGGAACGGAATCCGGAGAAGAAGATGAAGAAACGCAGAATGAGGGAGAAGAGGAAGATGAAGAAACGCAGGAAGGAGGATCAGAAGTAGAAGAGTACATTCCACTGAGCCAGTCGCCTAGGGTTTCCGGTGGAGAGGTGGAGGAACGGAGAGTTGGCAACCCTGGAGGAGGAGACAAGTGTATTTCGGGTGGTGCAGAGTGCGGAGGCGCATCTCAAGGGAAGGAGAGGAGCTGCACCGAAATTGATGGCTTGTTCTGCGCTATTTGTATGGAAGCAGCTTGGACCACTTCTGCTGATCACCATATCTGGTCCGTACTTTCAAATTTCTTCCATATTTTTTTCTTATCTTTCTTTGAAACTGGTTCTGGTTTCTTAACTTTGAATTTACCAATTATATATCAAATCGTATATATATTTTTCTGTAGTTGTCTTCCTTGTGGACACATTTATGGCTTCTCATGCATCCAAAAATGGTTACGGAAAAATCAAAGTTCAAGAAAGGTAGAGATTATGATCATCACACCGCATTGTAGTTTCTCTGAATGTTGGGGCTGACCCTTTTTTATTTAATATATATATATATATATATATATATATATATATTTGGTTTCCTTCAATTTCTACCTTGCTCCTTTTTCTAGTGTCCTCAATGCAAGAAGAAATGTACGTTAAAAGACGTTAGAAAACTGTTCGCATTGCAGATTGTTGCTACTGAAGGGAAAGTGCAAAAGGTAACGCTAAGCTATACAGGTTTAGATTTTAGAAACTTGTTGGATACCTGATGTTAATAGTATGTCATTAGTTTGTGCAAATGACCCAAATTTTGAGGCTAAAGGCATTTCACCAAAAAAAATGATGAGCATGCTTAATAGAGCAACAACAAAATTTCCCTTTTTTTTTTGTTAAAGAAAAAAAATTGGCATTGCTTTGGAATTGTCCAGACAGTATTTTGCTTAACAAGTTTTTATTTGACAATGTACGCTGCTTAGACTGCTTCTTGGGGCAAGAAAGAAGCTGAATGGAAAGAAAGAGAAACTCAATGGAGAAAGAGAGAAGATGAATTGCAAATGGAAGTTCAACAACTTACTAAGGTATTCTTAATTTTAATTTAAAATTACCTGTTGGTTTAATTTACTTCTTGAATGTGCTTTTAAAAATAGGTGTTATTAAAATTTTATGTTCCTTTACCTATATATTACAATGATTTTGATTTACCTAGAGTGGTATTTCTCTCCAGTGAAAGTTGCTTATCCTGTTTTCTCTAGCCTGACATTATTTGAGTTGTGATAGTTTGGATACATCATATCTCTTGCTTGAGTTCTTTGCTTGTGTTAATATTATGTCCTTATGTTCAAGTTTGTAGTGACATGTTTTTTTAGATAAAATATGAGGTCAGTTTATCCTACCATGTTGAAGTTCAAATATCTCTTTTGTGGTCACTTATTGCTGTCATTTACTTGAATTTGATGCATCATGGGATGAATTTCAGGGCACTGGGGACTTTTTGGGTATTGGACGGCAACGTATGTTTTTGATGTTCTCATAGTTGTCTTCTTTTGTAGAGGACAAGATATTTGGAGCATTTACTTGGAGAGGCACAGAGTGCAACACTTGGAGAAGTGACTGCCAATAGGATTAGAGATCAAGAAGGACTTTCTCTAGGTAACTTCTTACTTTCTTCTGAAGAAGAGAGGTAATCATGTAAGGTGAAAGACCATTGCTATTTGAAAATTTCACCAGTGGTTACTGGTTATTATATCTCTCTTTAATTTTATGTAGCATTTCTTGCTTTCAAGTTTAATATTTTATATTGCTTTAGAGGACCAAAAAAGAATTGTCCTTTTACTTTACTTTGGTGTAATATAAATGCACAACTTGTAGGATCCAACTTTGACATAGAGTTTAGCAGAGGACCTTTCGTACTGCTGGTATGTTATTTGTTACTTCCTCCTATGTTCCTCTTTCTCTCAACAGTCATATATTCCTATTTCTCTTTTCTTCTTACAAAATTATGAAGATACTTGATGCTTGGTCTAATCATATATCTGTTGTCTCTTCACCTTAAATCTTGCCCACGGGTTGAAAATTTTGGCAAGGAAGAAAAATCATCTGGAAAAATTTAGTCCTTCAACATGTATTCCTTGTTCTAGAACATTCTAGTTAATCACCAAGAAGAATGTTTTACGTACAGCTATTATGAAAGTCCTCTATGAGCTTGTGACATTATATTAGAATAGGAATGTTGATAGTTGAGGAAAGAATGGTAATAGAGTACTTATGTTAATGGTGTAAAATTAAATAGAAGTGAAGGATTTGATCAATATGGCTTGTGAAGTGGTAAGAATACCCACCCAAGTGTGATTTAGTTAGACCTCTAATAGGCAGGTTTAAAACATAAATAAATCCATCTCATTCACTTAGGCTTAGTTTAGATTGTATAATATCTATAACCAGGTGACTATATATCCTTGGCCATAGTGAGCTAATATATTCTGGTGGTTTGAATGAAATCAAATGTTGCTTGAGCTGTGTGTTTGATTCTGCTTTGGCTTGATCGTCTCAAGTTCTCAACTTGTTGGCTGACTAGTTGAGATGAGATATTGCTAACTGAAGTTTTATTCAGCTTGCAATTTTTCGTTGTCAATGGGTGTGGCAGAAAACATATTTGACTAAAATCTTTTCTAAATTCAATTTGTTTTTCCTTAAATTTTGCCTTGAATGTAGTGGGAAAATGATACATTAGAGGTTATACTATTGAATAATGAATCCTAGAGAATACTTGCATAGTATTGATGCTTTTTATTATCTTGTAATTCATATGAATTTTTCTTTCATGCTTTAACTGATTCCCCCCTATCCTTTCCTCTTTCCTCTTTCCTCTTTGTATTTTGCTTTGTCATGTAATATAAACATTTTTATTTTTTTTAAATCATTGTAGAAAGAACTGCAAGTGAATGGTGCACGTTTATTTGATGTAGATACTTCTAGCCATACTTTATTAGTGACTCGCCGAATGCATGGGCTGGGTGGAACATCTATCTTTTCCAGGGTAAAGTTTGTGCAACTTTGACACTGATTGTGCTTCCAGCATCAGTATGTGAACTTTTCAGTAAAAGGCTACTCTATCAGATTTCTGAAAATTGTTTTGCAGATAAGCTTGTTACCTCCATATGAAAGAGAAGACATTTTACTTCCTTCTGGTACTAAAGCAATCAGAGACCTGCAAATTTCCCCATTTAACAGCAACCTTGTCCTTTATGCATCTTTAAGCAACAAATTAGCAGTTCTCAGGTAAAAAAAAAAAAAAAAGTTAGCCTTTAAAACATTCCAGATACCCCTCTTTATTTTCTCCTATTGACTTGCTTTTAAAATTTGTTGCAGCACACAAAGTAACAATGTCGTCCTTGGCTATGATCTGCCGGTAAAGAGCCATTTGATTGCTTATAATATTTCTCGATTTGGCATAAAATATGTATAAACATATTTACCTAAATTATATTGTTAACTTGGTTTAAAACATCAAGTTACTGTTTTGTTCTAGGCAGTGTAATCAATAGCAGCTGCTATCAAGTATAAACTAAACTTCTAGGCAAAAAATGTTCAATTTTGTACAAGAATGCCTGTTTGCAATGAGTGGTTTCAACGGGTAAAAAGAAAGGAAAATAAGTTAAGGGAGGAAGATGGAACTCTTTAAAATTTACCCTTTCTTGAACATTTATTCCATGGCTATTTATTTAGGAACATTTATTGGATGGTTCCTTCATCCTTGGTTAAGTGGGTGCAAGGACGTGTATGACATTGTTAGTTTTAAGGCATGTTTCTGCACTCAGTTTATCAACTTATATTTATCCAGAATATTGTGGACCTACTTTGTGATGTGATTTATTCTGGAGGTTTCTTATATTTGGCATGGCTCAAGCTCTAGCTTGACAGTTCTAACTTCTAAGCAGGCTGCAGTTAACTGCTAAAGTTTTATTTTATGGGCCAGTCAAGCCCTCTAATCCTCTATTTCCTTTCCCTCATTTACATCACTGTCTATCCACTTTTCTTTAATTTATTGTTATAATCACTTTGAAACAGGATTTTTGGATCTGGCTTACAGTGTTCTTTGAGTTTTTACTGCATTGATGTTGGTATTTCAGGCTGCTGCATGGTCATGTTCATGGGATAGTAATAGTTCACATTACTTATATGCTGGTCTACAGGTTTGACTGCCAAGCTTGTTCTCTTTAACTTAATGGTGCTAGTCAGCTCAACTAAGTTTTTCATTTTTACCCTTGTTTCAGAATGGCTCACTTTTGGCTTTTGATATTCGCCAAACTGCACAGCCCATGGAATTAGTGAATGGTCTGACAAGCAACGTGATTCATACCATACACTCCTTACAAAATATGACTCTCCCTTTTGGTTCTGGACCCATACTATCTGCATCCTCAGTTGGCCTTTGTCATTGGAGCTTTGGTGGTGCTCAGGAAAGGTAAGCTGCAATTATTCATCTCTATACCATTTCCCACCACACAACACCAAACCCAAAAAGGAAAAAATAAAGAAAGTTATGAAAGCATGTCAATCTCAGGGGTTTTAATTTTGTAATTTGACTTTTCTTTTATCAGAATTACCAATCTTATAAAGCTCAGCTTGGGTAGTCATTGATGACTTATGGTGATCACCAGAAGGAACTTAGAAGGCTTATTTGATATGATGGAACATTATTCAAAAGGTTTTGATGCCAAATTGCATGGGGAGGGTGGCAGAATAGAAACAGGGCATTACAGTGGTTATTTAAACTGTTTGCAATAATGTTTTAATCATCTGGCTATGAGCTTTAGAAATGTTTGTGGTGTCTTTTCCCCTTTTATTATTCTAGTTCTTGTAAATATTAAAATGCCATTTCTTTTCAGTTTTCACTTCTACTAACTTGATGAAGGTCACCCCAGAGTTTTATTAACATTAAAATTTTGTCGAAAATGTGTTGATGCCCACTTTGGTTATCAAGAAATCCCATTTTGAGATTCTTAATCAATAAGCCAAAGATGAATCTTTCTTAGATGATGTAAAGTTTAGTGATATTTGATTAGAGAAATGGAGGTAAGCATTCACCATTTTTACTGAACTATCGTAATACCATCATGTTGTTGATGTTTCTGAGAAACATTGACATATGATTTAGGAATCTTTTTGTAGTTTGTTGATTGCTACCATGTGATGGACTGTTCTAAGAAATTTATGATTGATTTTATGAAGGCCTTTCTTGGTACCTGGGATGGAGAATCAAGGAGCTTGTGTATCTCTTGCTTATTGTCATAGCAGTAATGACATTGTTGCTTCATATCGCCCACAATTTGACTTTTCAAATGGGATGGCTGTTTCTCAACCTGTATTAACTCCTACAGTTGGGCAGGCAGTACGAGGTTCCCATGTTCACTTGAAGAGACTGGGCAGTAACTCTTATCAGAAGTTGGGCTCTACATGTGCCAACGTAAATGACATTCGACTTTCAAGATCTACAATTATAAAAACACAAAATAAGACTTTCTTTGCATCTGGAGATGAAGTTACAGGTGAATTAATCTTGCGAGAGTTGCCATCTTTTACCACTGTTCAACGTGTTAAGTCATCAAAGCTTCCTATACATGATGTCAAGTACACTGACGCACTGGGCAGAGGTTTGCTTGGTTGTTTAAGTGAAGGTTCTTTGCAACTATTCAACATGAAGTTTTGAAAAATAGGTAAACCTTCACTTAACTTTTATTTCTATAGTTGCTATCTTACTATTTGACTAATTGTTTGAATTTGAGGTTAGTGTTTATCAGCCAAACCTATAAAAAATTAGGCAAAAAGACACTTTAAAACTAAGTCGATTTAATAAAGTATCACGAGAAAAGACCAAAACAATATCATTCTTACTTTAAAAAGTAGGTTATTTTAGTCTTTTTCAATGAGAATTTATTAAAACAACATAGTTTTGAAATGTTTTACTGTCTAATTTTTTGCAAATCCAGCTTATAAACATTTTTTCATTTGAATTTTAATGTTCTATATCTTGCAATATCATTTTTTTTGATATGCGGAGGAAACCATACAATCCGGTAGAAATAGTTGAGAGATCTATCTTATTAATAAGGTCACTGGAACCCAGATCCCCTTCATGAAGTAAAAGCAATGTAGAACATATACTATATCAATACATTTATCTAATAACAATGCAAACATACATTATTGATATTTGTATATGAAGTTAGGGTTTAAATAAGAAGGAAAAGTTTGATCTTGAAACCTACTTAAAAATGACTGCCAAAAAACCATACTTAAATAAGAACAAAAATAACTTTCTTGAACTTGAACTATCTTTATTGCTTGCCTTTAAGAGGAAAACTGGTAAATGCTAAAGAAAATGGAAGAAGAAAACTAATACAAATTATCTAGAAACCACATATGGGTTAACATCATTTTTCTATTATGTTTTCTGGATCTTATGTATTTGGCTCTTCTACTATTTACCATTTCAACATTTCTAATGATTTGAATTAATCTGGTTCTAACTAGGGGCAGCTGCCCCCAAAATAGATCCATCCGTAAATTTGTGTCTGCAATATATATGCTTATGTTTTCTTTATTGTCCTCTTCTTTCTCTCAGGCCATATTTCATCTTATAACCATATTCTTTATGGTCAAAAACAGTAATTTTTAAGTGGTGATCCCATAACAATTTCTATAATTTGGTTAATTCTTGACTATCTAGTTTGCAGGGTTCTGAACTTTCCAAAAGGTGATAGCTCCACATGGGTTTCTCCTTCCTTTTTGTGGATGGTGCAATTGGCCCCAATTTTCTAGGAGCTCCTTTTTGTTTCACTTTATGTTTTAATAAGGCAAGTGACTATTTTAAGTTCCACTTGCAGAGATTGTATCATAGTGTAACATAGCATCAACTGGATGATTGAAGTTTTTTATTTCCATAGAGCAGTATATATTGACATGCTTTTTGTATGATATTTATTTCCAAAAGTCTTAATTTGATTAAAACTGGATCATATTTAAACTGTCATTACGGTATAATTAATAATTAATTGAATTATCTCAAAACCAAACTTGGAAGTTCCAAGCACTTGTTAAAGTTATGTGATTGTATAGAATATTGGCAAGGTTCTTTGCAAGTTATTTTGGGGCCTCGGATTTGTGGTGCAAGAGAGATGAAGTGCATTCATAACCATGCCTGACTGTATGACTGTATAAGAGCTCATCCATCCACTTCAGACATTCTGAAAGGATTTGGCAGGTATTTCCTTCTCTTTTTTTGTGTGTTCCTCCTTTCATGCTAAGGATGGAGGCTGATCAATGATATGCTCAAGTCTGGCTAATTTTCAAGTTAGAATCAGCTGAGTAGTAGATTCTACTTTCACACCAGTGCAAATGTAAGGCGAACTAACTAAAGAATATGGTATGTTTGGTGCAAGGTATTGAACAAAGATGGCCAAAGGTTTCACTCCAGGAGGATCTGCCACTCAACCAACTAATTGGTGAAAGAAGTGATCTTGCTTGTTTCAGGTACGCTTTCCATCTTCCACTATCTGTACTAATTTGACATTTAGAAAAAGAAATAGATAATTTTAAAGAGTGATTTGTCTAAATCTGTTTAAACTTTCTATCATGCAGTCCATTTAAAATTTAAATGCTGTAAGACTCCTTACCAACAACCCCATTTGTTTAATATCCTGCATTAGTATCGTGGGTTATTCTTTTGAATTATTGTTGCAAAAGCATCACTATTGCACCCTGGTCTTGTCATCAACTGGGTAGAATAAAACGTGCTTGGCCTAACAATCATCATTCTAAAATAGCTGTTTGTTTTTGTTGTCATATACATGTTGATACCTTCTTTCCCTGAATTGCTTGCCACATTTTTGATTAGAAATGTTGGTCCCACAAGTAATATTGTTGAAAATAGCCCTCTCAAGTCTATTTGCAAATGACTGATAGCCCCATATGTATTGATGCTTTACTGTTTAGTTGAAAACTCCATTATCTGATGCCTGGTCTGACCATTTCCTAGAAAACAAAGGAGAAGATTTCTAGAGTTAGTGTGGCTTTCCATTTCACGGGGTATCATTAGTTTCCATAGATTAATCTTTCTAAATTGGTCAGAAATCATAGGACAGAAATTGTCATGAACCAAAAGCCAAGCATATAAGTTTTGGAAGAATTACTAGGTGGTGTCTTTTTCTTTGCTCATCTGATGGTAGGGTATAACATATAAGAAAGGATTTTCTGAGTTAAACCAAAATAGGCTACGCCCCTTCCCAAACTGATATTTGCTTGTCCCAAGATTTGAAGCTAAGGTCTCAAACTTGATAGTTTAAGTTCTTAGCCATTGAGACATTTGTTAGAGGGCAGGTCAGGTGTATAACGAAAGATAGTGCTCCTATATGTCAAACCTTTTCCCTCGGTCTTAAGATTTGAATATGAAAAAACCATCAAGTTCAAATCTTATACTGAAGAGGATACAGTCTGTGATACTCCATGATTCAATACCAATGTCATCTTTAATTACTGTACATGATAAATCAAATGTAATGATTTATTGATATAATTCACTCCATTGTTTCTAAAATCACCATCCAAACTTTTTAGTGTTTAGTTTTTGTTGTTTCTACAGCCAACTAAAATTGACATTAGAAATTTTTACAGCTCATACACGTTCTTGGTAGCTGTTATCATGTGACTGCATTATTGTTGCTATTATTATTATTATTATTATTATTATTCAGGTAACATTTTACTTCTTGGATGCCAACCATTGATTGATCTTGAGATTTGCTTCAATATGTAGAATTATTAGGTTTCATGCTCTCTTTTATTGACCCCATATTTCATTTCATATGCCACCAAACCATTAAGGCGCCCCAACCTTTATGGCACTACAGATTCTGTCATATTCATTGCAGACAACGTTAACTCAATGATCATATTCTAAATGCAGGAAAAAGATGGAAAAGAAAGTGTTGCTTTATTCAGAAATGACAAATAAAAAAACAAGCCCAAACCCCATGACTGACCCACCATCTCTTTGGTTTCATCATCTCATGATTTTTTTCTTTCTCTGTAATTTCCAGATAATGTTCACCAAGAGCAACAAGACCCAAAAAAAATACACCAATTCTTCTGTCTTTTTCTCTGGAGCCTTGGACGCCCAACTACCCTTTCAACCCATCTCAAGACACCATTAAAATCAAAGGGACAAAACAGTGAAACTCACTAGAGTAAATTTCTTTGTAATTAGGGGTGTAGTCTTTTTGTGGTTCATTGTCTACTTAGCCCCAGCACTCTGGTGTTAAGGCATGGTTTCTTTTGGGATCCAAGCAATAATTATACACCATATGGTGGGTTTGAACCCATTCCATGGCTGTATACTGCTGTTGAGTCAGTCCGCCGGACCGGGCAGGTGAAGCGGAGACCGGCCGGCACCAAACGGGCGCATAGGCTGAGCAACCGCTTGCTTGGAAATTGGTATACCTTCCAACAAATGGCTGGTATCTGTAGTCTGCTTTGTATTTCCCATCTTCTGTTGCCCATGATGAGGCATCCCATATTGAACCGTAGAGCCACATCGGCCTCACAGGAAATGTTGCATCACTTTTTCTTGGGTACGTCCTTATGGGAACATCATCCACTAGGAATCTGAAATAATATTAAAAAATTAATCAACCAAAAAAAAACAGACGGTTTAGCACTAATTTCTATGTAAAATACTTCTTTCTAAAGGCAAAATACTTTGTTAGCATATTGTGAATGAGTTCCTACTTTTAATGGTGTGACAGTAACTAAATTTAATTTTCTTGCCTTAATTATTTATCATCTATTTCAGGTGTGAAAATACGATGGGATATCATATTAAGATGTTATTTTTTTACTAGTTGAATAAACCATGTCAAAGGTATTCTCATAATATAATAGATTTTTTCAAAATTATAACCCCCCCTTTGTTTTTATGTATATATCATACGGCTAATACTTAATCTTTAGCTTTTATGAATCATCGTGTGATTTTTATTAAATTAAAGTAGTAACAAAATTACGTATATACTTGTGGAAAAGTACCCCATAAGTAATCCAACCACAAGCAAAAGGTATAATCCTGTGAATAGTATTTTGTTAATTATATGTATGAAGATGAAACTTACATGATCTCTTTGGGACTCCAGAGAATGGCATAGTGATGAAAATCCTGGGTTGGATCAAACCAGAGATGAAACTTCATCTCTCTTCCAACGATATTTCCATCCCCACTCCCTCTGATGTACACATTGGTCTGTAAAGTATATGGCTTCCCAAATGTAGTCCCAAGAAACTCTATGTCCACTTCATCATGAAGCCCTGGATGAGCTTCATTGTTTGAAAGCTTCCATTTACAGAAAAAAAGTTAATAATTAGTTTAATTATATTAGAACCCCAAATGATATCCAGTAGTTAAAAGAAAGAGTTGTAGGAAATCAAGTCTTACATAGAAGGCTGTTATCACTCCTGCTGTGTATCCTGGTTGGAGCTTGATGGATGCTCCAAAGTAACCTGATCGGAATGGTCGAACTGACTTGAACCCACTTCCTGTATTTCTATATTCAAGTATTAGAAATGGAGGAAAACAGAGGAAGAAGAATGGAGTATACAAATACCATAAACTAAACTAAACCAAACCTGAGGTTCTATCAAGCCAGATTGTCACTGCATTTTGGTCTAACCATTGATGCTGAGGTCCCCAGAGATTTCTAAACCCTTCGTAGAAGTTCATAGTCTTGAACTTAGAACTTGGCCGGTAGCCAGGGGAAGGTGGCCAGTCAGCAAGGCTGCTTGAAGGAGTCATTAGAATGAAAAGAAGAAAGAGCAAGAGGGCCATGGAGAAAGAAGCAAGAGATTAGAAAGGAAAAGGAAACCAAGTGGAGAAGGTAGAGTGATTGAGAGTGTGTATAAATGCAGGGGACATGGAGAAGAGTATGGCAGTACTGTTGATATAAGTGATTAGTGGGCCCCCATTTGAGGTTTTTT